GACAGAAAGTAACCAAGTTACAGCTCAGCTCAGTTAGGATAACAAAGTTCTACCAATTCCTGAATAATTCTGTCCAGTGAGATGTAAACATGTGGCTGCAGAGTCATTCAGAGTGGTCTGATATAAAAGGGTTCACTGTAAATAAATGTACCAACTCAGGTTTCTTTACAGTGGTGGTGACAGGAATCAGGGGCCACCATGACTACAACACAAATATAGCCATTTTATTTACTATCTGAAACCACCAGAGACCCTCCATGTGTTTTTGTGTAATGATGATGGTGGAAAAATAATCATAAATCTGGAAAAAAAATGGTTTTCTTTGGAGACTATATTGCCCTGCATGAACCCCTCTGCCATAAATGAATTAAAATAAATGGATAAAAAAAACATTGTTACAATTTTATCACAAAACTACCATAAAACAAGGTTTCAGGCATCACACAGTAACTTATATATCTAACCATTTCATATAATCACTTTCTGAGACGGAGCTTTCAGAGGCACTGAATCCTTCAGACGGCTGGTTCCACTTTGAACATTTCCTCAATCGTAGGTTTCACTACAGCAGGGCATTTCACGCCAAACCACTTTGAATGACTGTAAACAACCATTTCATTATGCAGAATTTTTGAAAATCAGTGGAGTTCCCCTTTAAGTTTTAACTCCGGCTCCAGTCACTCGACGCGTCTCTCCCTCTAACGATTTCTGCTTCATCTCGTCTGAGGGAAGAATCAGACCCGGTCCGGGCTGTGAAGCCGTTACCTGTTAGCTAGCAAACTAACAGCCCCACACACCACAAACCCTGATTAGATTCTGATTATCGGACACTCCAGCACCGTTCACTCGACAAAACGCTCAAATCTGAGTCATTCTTCTTGAAAATCGTCACAGTTTAGCCCAAGTTATCCGGAACCGAACCGGTCCTCCAGCAGAGCTGTTAGCCAGCCTGCTAACGTCAGCTAAACCTGAGCTAACTTAGACAGCAACTCAGTTTATTAGCTGGATTTAGAGCATGAATCCGAAACGTGGTTCCCATTTAAAATAGTAATAAAAACCTTTTAACTTAATAATTTCTTACATTGTGAGAGAAATCAGAGTCGAGGTGACGAACCCAGCTAGCCCACCATAGCAGACCACCGGCTAATTTAGCAAGTGACGCTAATTTTCGATTTATTGTGCAAAAGTTAAACTTTATCGGATTATATGATCAGTAAATGTCCGATTAAAACTGTTGGTCCGTCAGATAAACCAAGTCTTACTCACCAAACGCGCTTTGAGGCCTCCGAAGTTTCCAGAAGCCGCTCCAAGATGAACAAAAGGAGAGCTGGTTAAAAACAAGCTGAAGCTAAACGAGTGAAACAGGACTCATCCGTCTCCACAGCCCGCAGGGTTTCTGCACCTGTGAGCGGATTTAACACCAAGTCTTACAAGTTTCTCCGTGTTTTCTCTGATCCTGACTTCAAAATCACAACTGAAGCTGAACTATCAGATTAGTACGGAGCCCTGCTGGTGACTTCCCATATAAACAAAAATAATGCTGGCCTCGCCTTATTAACGTATGGAAACGAGATCCTAATGCGTGGCAATGACTTAGTAAGGTGTGGGAATGAGATAATCAAGTCATAGCCATGATTTAGTAAGGTGTGGGATCATGCATGACACAGAAAAACTAATGCTGTGTTATGATTAATACAACTTTTACTGCAGAAATAAGGTATTTTACATTACATGTCAGCTTTTATTCTTCTAAAAACTCTAAATTGTGGTGGATATTCTGCAAATAAAGAAATCTCACAAATGTTCAGTGTGATCTCTGGGCCAAATGAGTTTATCAAAGCTTTAAAGTCCAGGAAAGACTCACTCCCAAAACAGATTAGAGGAAGAGGGGATTTTACACATCAGAACAGCTCAGTATCGTCTATATATGGCTTTATCTTTATAAAAGTTCATATTTGATTATACAACAGATTATATTCATCTCTGCTTTTGGAATGACTGTAGTGAAGCTGATGGAGCAGCTGAGTTCCAGCTAAAATCACTTTTTCACAAACGCTAAAATCATCAGAATCTCTGAAAACATACAGTCAGAAGAAATGGCTTCATCTTAGAATTGATAACCTAGATTATATTTTAAATCGATTGGAGCTGCACCACTTAACTTTAAACATAGATGAAGCTACAGACATGAAACACATGTCAGACCATTCAGCAGACCCGGCCCAAACTAGTTAGCATGACGTCATCAAGCTGCGACGTCAGCACCAGTGAATAATTTGGCTCGGAAAATCACCCAAAATCCTGATATTATTGCTCTGCTCTGCTTCATATTCCAACAAAGGGTTAAAACAGCAACATGATTCACACATCAGATCAGTTTCAGACTCTGATTCACCATCCAGAGTGATTTTATCCACCTGTGACCCTCCAGCCAGACATCCAGCTCCAAAATCACCCACAACCCTCTCCTTACTGTTATATTACATCTCTGCTTTTAGGCTTCATACTATAAACAAAGGGTTAAAATAGCGATGATTCACACACCAGATCACTCAGAGGAACCAGCCATCATTAACCAGAGTGAGAGAAACCAGCTCTAACATCCCACAACCCAGAAATACAGCTCAAACACAGCCAGACCACTGAAAACCTGCTGTTAGCTCTCTGCTTTAGCCTTCATTTGGCAACAAAAGGGTTAAAACAGCAACGCAATTCTCACATCATGCTGACCATCAGGACTGACCCTGTGTGTCCAGAGTGACACTGTGGAGATTTTAGATAGTAATCCAGTTCAGAAAACCACCGTCCAGATCCTGTGTTTATGTCCTGCATGTGTACCAACCTAGAACTTCCCCTCGTGTCTCAAACAGAGTCTGATTAAAGACTCTGAGTTTAGTGCTAATAATCAGAAATTCACAGCTATGTACACATAAAAAATGATAAATGCAGTCACACTTATAAAACTGAGGCTAAACGCTAGATCTGAGAGAGGGGGAGGGGTGGAAAAACACAAACAGGCCCTAAAACACATTTCAGATAAATAATAAAAAGATAATAAATGTGAAAAATATTATTTAGAAATTGATAATATTTAGCTCTGTCTTTCAGTTTCCAGTGATTTTGAGTATTAAAAATATCTGATATTAAATGTGCAACTTAATTTGTCATTAAAAATAAAGCCTGTCTTGCTGTGTATCAGAGTTTTAGCACTCAGCATGAATCCCAGAGGATCAATAAAAAACATGGCCGCCTTTTTTTACTCATAATAACCAACAGAATGAATCACCATCTAAATTCAATTTTAAATAAAATAAACCTGGAGTATTTTCAGTCTGTCTTCAGCTGTTTCCATCATACATAAACACTATAACACACACTTATAACTGCAGATGTATTTGAGACCTGCTGGTGTGTTTCTTTCTGTAGTCCAGTGGTTCAACAAAGCTAGCTGAGTCCTATTAGCTCCCTCTTGTGGGGAGAGTCTTCAGCCTGATAACCATCAGTGAGTGTGAATTAGTTACAAGCCAGATCCTTGAGGAGCTTTTTTATCTTAGAAAACAGTGTCAGTAGTGTGTAGGATGTAAATAATATGTAAATAATCCAGGATAAAAATGAAATGAAATTAATTAACAGATAAACGGGTAAAATGTTACAATAAGGGTCCATGATAAAGCATTGTTTAATCATGAATTATCATGAATATTGATAAAGTAACCATGTCTCATTAATGCTTTAATGCAGGAGCAATTTATTAATTCATGTAGTGATTAAAGCACCAATATCATCAGTTAAAATCAGTTACTTTATCAATATTCATGATGACTCATGATGTATTACATGTAATGATTACTCAGACGTTAAATAATGCATGATTTAATGTTATTTCATGTATCCCTATTGTAAAGTGTTACTGATAAACCTTAATTTAATCCAAGTTTGAGTTTAATCTTTGTTTATGCAGCCCACCCTGGAAATAATAAACTCTATTTTTAATACACCTTTTTAACACAAGCTCACAAAGTGCTTTACAGAAACAATGAAAGCAGATTAAAAGTGTTTGCTCAGTGAAGTGAAGTGTTGGCTGTGTTTGGGTGAATGCTGTCTTCTGTTTGATTGCTATTGTTTGTGCTGGGTTAGGTAGATGATGACTGGACTGCTGTTAGCAATAGGCTGTGGCCTGATGTTGTGACAGCAGGACACAACACGTATGGAAATTGTATCTACCAAGTTGACCTACAAAAAGGGTTCTATACAGTAGCAAAAGGGGTTCTTTGGCTTGTAACAATAGTAGAACTCTTTTTAGTGCTATACAGAACCCTTTTCAAAAAGGTTCTGTATAGAACCATCTACAGCACATTCACCATTAATCTGAAGAACATTTTCACCATGCAAAGAACCCTTTAATCATGCAAAGCGTTCTTTGAGTATTCATGGTTCTATACGGTACCATTTTCTTTACTAAAGAACCCTTGAAGAACCCTCTTTTTAAAGAGTGTACCCCAAAATTTATTTCTATCTCCGTCACTGGGGTGACTGCTTTGTGCATCACTAAAAAGTAACACATGTAGTTGTGAAAAGCAAAAGGATAGTCAATGAAATGCAGGTGAACAAGCCTCAGATGTGCATTTGAATGTTGGAAACTTCATATTGAATCTTCATATTGAATGACTGACCTCCCGCTATGCCCCCCACTCCCTCCAGCTGTAGGTGTAGCACCCCCTCAAAATGTTTCAGCACCGCTGTAAACTAAGCTCTGGTGCCGCCCCTGCCTTTATCTCTAAGACAAGCAGAGATGCACACAGGGAACATTTGATATGACTGATCTGGGCAAAGCTACTGTAATAAACACACTGTCTGTAAATTAAACTGGGCCACACTGTGGAGTTTATCCTGAGCAACATAAGTGGTTTCAGACACGTCAGATACGTTAATCACCAACATGAAGTGAAAGCAATGTGTAGATACACAACACCAACCTTCTCTCTCATCTGTTCCCACAGCTTTACCCAGAGCTACACTGACTGTAGAGCCCAAATGGAGTCCTGTGTTCACTGGAGAGTCAGTCACTCTGAAGTGTGAGATGGAGTCTCACAGTGACTGGAGATATCAGTGGTATAAAGGCAGCAGTGGCACTGCAGTCAATCAGTCTCAGACAAACACCTTCACCATCAGATCAGCAGCAGATCAGGATCAGTACTGGTGTAAAGGACAGAGAGATAACAGACCCTCATCATCACAACTCAGCAATCCTGTTACTCTCACAGTGAAAGGTAAGATTTATAGTAATATGTCATCACTGCAAAGTGTGTTTATTAAATTTATTTCATGTGTGTAAAATTAAATTACTGGTAACACCCCAACAAATGTATAATACATTACATTAATGCTATCTTTGGGAACATAAATACAGAAGCCCTGAAGGGTAATATCAGTAAAAAAATTGAGTTTAAGTTCCACTTTATTTATTTTCACTGCCTGTATAACAAACTAAAAACAGCCAAATGTTTTTCTAAGATCACTTTCAGACATCAAAACCCTAAAAAAGCAGAACTGTATTAAAAAATAAAGACTAACACATAGCATGTTATATCAGCTTTGGCCAGCAGGGGGTCGATTTGACTTTAGATGGTCTGAGGTGGTGGTCGACAGGGCAAATCCCCAAATTATTTGAAATTCTATATTATTCCATACTTATTTTCCAAACTCACATGCATCTTTTGACAGAATGTCAATGTTACACACACAGTTTATTCAGAAGACAGTAAATTAATTCAAGCTTGTGTATAACTGACAGCATCTTCCACACCAAACCTGTTTTTTTGCGGACGGCAGAAGTATTTTATTCACCCTCTATTCACTTTTGTGAACTTTCACTGTTGACAACAGTGAAAATTCAAAAAATGAAGGTTTAAATGTAACTTATCATTTTTTTTAACTAGGTTTAAAGTTTATGTAAATGAATTAACAGATAAACCAGTAACACTTTACAATAAGGGTCCATGAAATAGCATTGTTTAATGTGTGAGTAATCATTCATTCATACATGTAACACATCATGAGTCAACATGAATATTTATTTGTGATGTGACAAAATCAAAATCAAACAAACAGGAAAAAAGTAGGAAATATATTTTCGCAGCTTATATATTGTCTTAGCTTAACAAACACAGCACCAGATAGTTGAACTGTTTTCTTCTAGTTTCTAGTGACAGAGATGAGCAATCTGTTCTGAATAAACAGAAAAACATGATTTCAATCTAATCAAATATGGTTCTTTGGTAGTTAAAACTTGAGAGGACTGTATACGTATATCATAAGAGATCATCATAAAGGCGTTTAACTCTACACAATTAAATAACATTTAACATTTTCAGTCATCATTAAGAAACTAAGAACCACAATTAGTGTATCTTTATTAGTTTATTAGTGTTTCATTTAACACTAAACAATTCAAAACAAACTTTAATTGGAAGACTATCCAAATTAATCTAAATTACTCACCTAAACTGCTAGCCACGAGCTTACATGTTAGCCACAAGCTAACCCGCCAACAGTGAGCTAACGCACTAGCTGCAAGGTAACATGTTAGCTACAAGCAAACACACTAGAGTACACATAAGCTACACTTACAAGGAGTGTGCTTTAGCACTTATATTCAATTCTGAGGTAAAGAAAGGGTTTTTTTTGAGGTAAAGAAAAGTAAAGATTTTTAGGGAAGGCTCTGTCTGACCTCACTGTGGATCTGCCTTTTTAACACCTCATGCATTATATTCTAAGAATGTATATTCATTCATGCATTACATGCATAAAAAATGTTGACGTAACGCAATAGGCGGAACGTGGACGTGCGGAAATGCAGCACCTGGACACTCTGTGGCGGCACCTAACAAAAACACACATGGATGAGCGAGAAATCCGACGGGCACCCTCTGCATTAAAGCCAGGTTAGGTCAGGAGTCACAACCCAAATGATTAGAAGAGCCATTTTGTCCATTCAAAAAAAATCAAACCACCTTAGAAGCCACAACATTTAATGTCCAGTATGTCTCAGTATGTGTTGATGTCCTAGTATAGGCTAAACAATATAAATGAAAGCACACACTTACTTGCTGTGCTTTAAGCTTTAGCTATAGCTGCTTTCCTCTCATCTCCGCCAGAAAACCTTTCCTCAAAAGTAGAGCAGCTTGTTGTAAAATGTCTCTCAACATTCGACTGTTTTCCGAGGCTGAAGTCGCTTCTTATTCTCCAGCTTCTTCTTCAAATTTTCCCGTTCTACCTTAAATTCTGCCTGAAGTAAATGCGGCATCATTTAAGGTGGACCGGAAAATTCGAAAGAAGCGCTTTATCTTCGCAACTTTTTAGTGTTTGACAGTCTCTCATTGCAGATTTAACGTTCCAGGAAACCAACTGCAGTGCTTATAAATGCAAATAAGCCCATTCGTCTCCAAATGTTTGTCTTAAATTTCTTTGCCTTTTCATTCGCTACTAGCGAGGTGAGACTTCGCTGCTGTGTGACCTGCAGTCTTCACGCCAGTTCTCAGTCTTTGAGAACCAGGGCGTACGCGCTATGTCGCACACTTTGGAGCCGAGATACAGCGTCCCGTCTCGAAAATATTTTACTGACACAGTGAGAGATAACGAGGTCCAATAACCAGTTAACCAGCTGAGAGAACCGGCACTGCTGAGACTGTCTGACATTTACAGGACGTGTTTATATTAGAACAGGTTATTAATTAAACACTTAGTGGTTGAAAACTACGGAGCCCCAGTGGTGACATCCTGTATAAATAAAAATAAGGCGTGCCGTCTAATCGGTGGCCCCGTCATCAGGAGATCGCGAGTTAGATCCCTGGTGACTCCGTAGCCGGGAGTCCAGGAGAGCACAACTGGCCTCGCTCTCTCTGGGTGGGTAGGATGGCCCCCCCTTCTCCCCCATCACTCAACGCGGTGCTAGTCAGCGCAGGCGTCGTTAGCTGACGTAACAGATCTGGCGGCTCCGCGCGCGCTCAGCTGACCAGTGATGTTGCGGCAGTTCGAAAAGAAGCGGTGTCTGGTTTCTCAGGTCTCGGAGGAAGCCTGTGCTGCCTTCACCCTCCTAGCGCTGATAGCATCGTGTGATTGGGGGAGTCCTAACTAGCGGGTGGAGTTGGAGAGACTGGATTGGGGAGAACAATGGGTAAAAATTAAAATGAATAAATAAAATAATGCGTGGCCACGACTTAGTAAGGCATGGGAATGAGATGATTAAGTCTTATTAGTAAAGTGTGGGAACGAGATCCTAATGCGGGGCCACGACTTAGTAAGCCATGATCTCGTTCCCACGCCTTACTAAGTCATGGCCACAACTTAATCATGTCATTCCCACACCTTACTAAGTCGTGGCCACGCATTAGGATCTCGTTCCCACACATAAGGCGTGGCCATGCATTAAATGTATTTATACAGGATGTCATCATCAGGGCTCTGTAGAAAACATTTCGTCTCATGGTGAAAGTTAAACTCACAGAGATCAAAGACTTTGACGCTGTCCCAGTTCGTCAAACTCCACTTCTGACTGGTAAACTGGAGCACTGGTTAAGGCGACACCTCATTGGCTCACAGTTCCAGCCATTGCTTCCCGTTTCAACCAGTCGGAGTTCAGCATTGTTGTACCACGTGATCAAACGTGCGTCCGCAATTGTTTTTTACAGTCTTTGGCCACAGGGGGCGCGCACACACTGTGAGCAGTTCCTCCTGTACACTCACACATGTTTTCCGAGATTGTGTCTATGAAGAGAGTCCGATTGATGATCTGATGTGGATCTAATATTTTTCAAATGTAGATCTTAGTGTGAGCTGCACCAACAAGGATCAAATTAAACAGAGTTTGAAGCTTATCTAGAATTTATTGATCTAGATTTTATTTTAAATCGAGTTCTGTTGCACCACTTAATTTTATTCATAGATTAATCTGTGATTAAAGTCTTAATCTGTGATTAAACCTTGACCTGCCATTCATTCTGATTGCCCACTATGATGGATTCAGCTGCATAAATAAACAGCAACTACATTTCTCTCCACACTGATCACTATCTCTACTTTTTTTCTTCCCTTCTGAGTGAAAACCAGCATAGAGCTACATCAAAACCAGCTCTCACAATCAGAGAGGGAATACAGACATTTAATAAACAATCCATTGTTAGACCCACAGCCTCAGAGTCAGGAGGAGCCGTTTAGTCAGCCCTGCTGAGAAGACTAAATTATAATGTTACACAAAACCTGTTGGTATTCAAATCAAAATATTTTTCATATATACACACTGTATGTTACTGTCTAAGCTGCAGTTGTACAGTTAATGTTCCATAAATATCAAATCTAAAACATAACGCTGAATATTGATAGAGCAGCTTGTTAGCCTGTTAGCCTGTTAGCTCTCTGCCAAGATGTTAATCCCAGATCAACTAGTTCAACTATTTTATCTGGAGTATATTCAGTTTGTCTTCAGCTGTTTCTGGCATATATACACAATTTATAACTCCAAATGTATGTGAGATTCTGCTGGTGTGTTTTATTAACTCTAGTCTGGTGATACACCAAAGCTACTTGAGTGCTTTTATCTCCCTCTTGTGGGGAGAATCTTCACTCTGAAAACCATCAGTGAGTGAGGGTGAATTACAAGCCAGTTCTTTGAGGTGCTTTTCATCTCAGAGAACAGCATCACCAGTGTGTGTGATATAGTTTTACTTAGAGAGAGAGAGAGAGAGAGAGAGAGAGAGTTTAAATTTAATCCCTAAACAAAATTTAAATCAGTGTTTAAAGTAATGAAGAAACAGGATCAAATTTAAACTAGGTTTACTGTAAAACTAATCCACAATTAAAATAAAGGTTTAAGTGTAACTTATTATTTTTAACTAGGTTTAAAGTTTGTGCAACTGAATTATCAGATAAACAGGTAACACTTTACAATGAGGTACAAGACATGACATTTATTAATGTATTAATGAATGTGTGAGTAATCGTATGGATTGGCTGAATCCCAAATGGCTGTTTTTAGTGATACTATGCACTGTTGCAGTGCAGGATCCAGTATTTAAATTCCTACACAACTAGTGCACTATGTAGCGCACAGGGAGCCGTTTGAGATTTAGCCCCAGCGTGAGAAAAGGTGCGGTGTTAGCTTGGTGCTAAATAAGACTGTAGTGATAATTTGGTTAGCAAAAATTACTTATAAAGCAAAGTGCTGCATTAAACGGTGCTGTGTTTTCATATGTTCAATGTTCAATGAAATGACCGCAATATACAGCGATGGGCGACAGAACGTTCTCCTCATTCAGCTGCCCAAGGTTCCTTGGAAACGATATCATATACGACAGGAACTACATTTGTTTAGGTCGATTATTATTAATAATAATTTAAATTATTTTCTGGATAATTGTGCATTTTATCATATTTTATGATGGTCGCTGTTTTATAAAAGGTATTTCCACTTAGCTTTAATGAGGACACCCTTTCCCAGGGTGGTGCCGCAGTGGTGGGACAAAACATATTGTTTGATTTTTTTTTTTTGTGTGATATTGTATCTCTTTCCTTTGGTTCAGATGGTGGAGTGTAAGGGCTAAAGTGGACTAAATTACATACGTGGGTGTTTGTTTATTGATCAGAAGTTTTGCAGAGATGCCAGCACTTTTAGGTCAAAATGTCTCATGCCTAAAGGAATGTCCTGACCATTTTAGGAAATAACTTTCTGCGGGAGCTTTCAGAGGCATTAAACACTTTAGACGTCTGGTTCCTATCACCACCACTGTGAACAGTGAGCAATTCTGAATCAGTACATTTCTCCAGAATGGCTTAGTTCACATCAAACCACTCTGAATGACTTAGTTTAAATCGTAATGATTTAATTTCACAAACATTTATAAAAATCTGTGAAATTCCACTTTAACAAGCTGTTTAAAGGCTGTTAAAGAAGCTTCCTAGAATTAGAGCTTCAGAAACTAACAGGATCTTCTAATATCAATATGATCCAGACAGGACCTGCGTGAGGAGCTGGGCTGCTGCTTTTTGACTGAAGCACAGTGTTAGAAACTGTAGAATTTGAAAGGGGTGTAGTGATTAAAGGACCCACATCCTGCATTATATTGATTTTTTTTCCCCCGAGGTCCACTTTTACAAATTTTACATGACCATTTTTCAACATATCTTTATCCTTCACAATTAAACTGGCTATTTTGTTACTTTAAGACTGAGGCAGGCAGAATCACTTCTTATATCTTCAGTGTGAATGTGCAGGGATGAATTGCTGAGTGTGCGTTTTTTTCAATTTAAAATAGTCTGTATTTACAGCTTAGTTTTCATATACTGTCTATATGGACTGAGGAGTGAACAGTACATTTTAAAACTTCAACAATGTTTACAAACATCAATTTCTTGTATTTCCCAAAAGTGAGAAACACGAAATATGGGCCATTTAATGCACTTTCATCATGAAAAAGAGTACCAAGCTACTTCTTCACTATGATAATAATTCAAATGTGTTAATCAAATTGTTAAACCAAATTGTTAATAACATTATAACCAGGGATGTGCACAGACATTTTGAGGGCCTGTTGCTGTAACCTGAAAAAAGGGCAGCACAACCCCCCATCCCCATCACCAGGTACCTGAATGTAGTAATATGTGGTCATTTAACTAACCACATATCAGTTTTTAATTTGTAAATTTGTAGGTGCCTTATTTATACACTTTGCTGGTTCAACAATTCTAACCATTTCAATTCTGAACATCAAACTGAATCACCAACTTTCACCTTTTGCTGCATCAAATGCACTAAGACTACTTAACGCTTTAGTGTAACCAGCTGAATTTTCGTGGACGTGATGCTCACAGTGGCTGGTGAAGCCCAGGAATTAGACTGTAACTGACTGTTAGACTGTATCCTGTCAACATCACAGTGCAGAGTGAGTCTACATTATTATTATTAGAAACCTGTAACAGTGGAACAAAGATACACAAGAAAACTCTGTATTCATCTCACTGTAACACACTGTCTCTGATATCAGTCACTGATAGAGTTCTCCGAGTTCTCATTACCGTTTTCTATACTTGCTGTTTTCAGTGTTTTCTTTCTCTCTTCTACAGATGGTTCTGTGATTCTGGAGAGTCCTGTTCATCCTGTGACTGAGGGAGATCCTCTGACTCTGCGCTGTTTATATCGTGACCCAAAGCCCTCAAACCTCACAGCTGAGTTCTATAAAGATGGATCACTCCTCCAGACTCAGACTACAGGAGAGATGACCATCCCTACTGTCTCAAAGTCAGATGAAGGTCTCTACTACTGTAAACACCCAGAGAAGGGAGAGTCACCACAGAGCTGGATCTCAGTCAGAGGTGATCAAGTACAACCCCATTTCCAAAAAAGTTGGGACGCTGTGCAAAATGTAAATAAAAACAAAATGTAATGATGTGCAAATCATTTAAACCCTATATTTCATTGAAAATAGTACAAAGACAATATATCAGATTTTGAAACTGAGAAATTTCATTGTTTTTTGAAAAATATATGCCCATTTTGAATTTGATGCCAACAACATGTTCGAAAAAAGTTGGGATGGGGGCAACAAAAGGCTGGTAAAGGTTGTGTAATGCTAAATAAAACATCTGGTGGTTAATTGGCAACAGGTCAGCAGATTGGGTATAAAAAAAGCATCCCAGAGAGGCTGAGTCTTTCAGAAGTAAAGAAGTGGAGGGGTTCACCAATCTGTGAAAGACTGGGCAGGGAAATAGTGCAACAATTCAAGAATAACGTTTCTCAACGTAAAATAGCAAAGAACTTTTGCTTTTCATCATCTATGGTACATAATATCATTAAAAGATTCAGAGAACCTGGAGAAATCTCTGTATGTGAGTGAACAAGACTGAAAACCAGTATTTGCTGACCGTGATCTTTGGGCCCTCAGGCGGCACTGCATTAAAACAGAAATGATTCTGTAGTGGAAATCACTGCATGAGCTCAGAAACACTTCTGAAAACCACTGTCTGTGAACACAGTTTGTCGCTGCATCCACAAATGCAAGTTAAAACTCTAAAACGCAAAGAAGAAACCACATACAAGCAGGATCCAGGAACACTGCCACCTTCTCTGGGCCTGAGCTCATTTAAAATGGACTGAGGGGGAGTGGAAAAGTGTCCTGTGGTCTGATGAATCAACATTTGAAATTCTTTTTTTAAATCATGGACACTGTGTCCTCTGGGCTAAAGACCACTCAGCTTGTTATCAGTGCACAGTTCAAAATACAGTATTCATGATGGTGTAGGGGAGCATTAGTGCACATGGCATGGGTGACATGCATCTGTGAAGGCACCTTTAATGCTGAATGATATATACAGGTTTTGGCAACATATGCTGACACCCAGATGACGTCTTTTCAGGGAAGGACTTGTTTATTTCAGCAAGACAATGTCAAACCACATTCTATATTACAACAGCATTGCCTCGTATTAAAAGAGTCCGGGCACTAAACTGACCTGCCTGCAGTCCAGACCTGTCACCAATGAAAACATTTGTACCGTTTATGAAATGAAAAATATGACAAAGGAGACCCTGACCTGATGAACAGCTGAAATCCTGTATCAAACAAAAATAGGAAAACATTTCACTTTCAAAAATACAGCAATTGGTCTCTTCAGCTCCAAACGCTTACGCGAGTGTTGTTAAAGGAAGAGGTGATGAAACACAGTGGTAAACATGCCCCCGTCCCAACTTTTTTGGAATGTGTTGCTGACATCAAATTCAAAATGGGTATATATTTTTCAAAAAACAATAAAATTTCTCAGTTTGAACATTTGATATGTTGTTTTTATACTATTTTCAATTAAGTATAGGGTTTAAATAATTTTCACATCATTGAATTTTATTTTTATTTACATTTTGCACAGTGTCCCAACTTTTTTGGAAATTTGGTTGTACATAAAATTACAAATTTTCTTTATATTATTTGATGTTGTTATGCATCCAATGGTTACAGCACTATGATAATGTTATTGTGTTTCAGGTGAATCAAATTCACGAGCTTCATTCTCAGTGTTCAGTCTGCTCAGTAGTTTAATGGCAGCGTCTCCGTATTTGCTGGTGTCCATCATGCTGACAGTCAAATGCTACAGAGCTCGAGGTGAGAACACAGTTTCTACATTAGTCTGACTTAATTAACAAAAAAAAATAATTAAAATAAATTAAAGACAAATTTGAAATGTTTATTATTGTGTATTTCACAGCTAAACCTGATGAGCTGAACACAATGTGAACAGTGATAGAAGCTGGAGCATGTTGATGAGAGTCCAATGGAAAGTTTTTACATCATCGTTATAATCTTGTGAGTTTTAACTCTTAAAACCAGAAGAACAAACTTGCGGTGTAGCAGTTTGCATGGCTGTCTTTAACTTTCATACTTGAGGAACGGATTAAATCCTTAATTAGAGATCATTTTATATGGTAAATCAGCAATACAGGCTTTTGAATAACAGCACCATAAACTAAAACATCCAGCAGATTAATTTATTCTCTCTCTCAGTAAGCGCAGTATCAGTAATGACATGGTTATGACACTGTTTCAGTTCCAGACTGAGCCTTAAAACACAAATGATTATCCAAATTCTATATAATTTATAAGAAATTGATTTCTTTTTGTACAGATTTTGAAAAATACTGCATGACTACTTTTGCTTGTCTTTTTATTATTATTATTATTATTATTATTATTATTATTCATGTCTGTTATTATATCAGTTGATACATTTGCTTTGCTAAAATGTATATTGTTTTATTGTTACTACAGTAACAAACTTTTTACTTTTAGGGAAAATTATGCAGAAGATCTTGATGCAGGTTAATATAATTATTTTGATATATCTGAGAACTGGTGAAAATATTTCATTATGATTTTTCTTTTATTTATGTTGTATTTTTCCTCTTATTTCATTGCCAGTCATATCCATTCATCAATCACAGCTCCTTTTGTTCAAAGGCTAAACAAAACTGAAAGGTAATTCTGTTCTGTCTGCTTTAGTGTTTAATACATTTTAATAATAGAACATTTACAGTTATTTTGGCACATATTACCCCCTCCTGGGTCTGTACTGTAGTGCACATTGCGAGGCCATGTGCTTTTGTTTGTTTTCTTTTCCGGCTCCAGTCACTCCTCCATTTCACACATCTGCAGTTGATCCTGGACTCATTGGCGCTATTGCTCTGCATTAGCTTAGCAGCAGTTTAGTCGTTTGGCTAAACCGGTAACTACAGGAGTTCAATACGCAGCTTTGCATCAAACCTGACTGCTATGTCAAAACAAGTGCAAGCCTACATGATCCACTACTAAACACCAGCTAAACTGTATGTACTGTCAAATTACGCCATGATCAGCCCAACTAAAATTGTGTACAGTGCTGTGTCTTTTGGCACTTTCCAGGAATACAGTTCATTTTAGGTCTCAAAACTAATGTAAATAATGTAATGTAAAATGTTTGTTTTCCTTTGGTGTTTTTTGACTCAAAGTAAGTGCTTGATGTTATTTTCCCACCTCAGGCTGTAAAATCAGATACTGTAGGCAGTTTTTTTCTAAGATGTAGTGCATTTTTGCAACCATGTAACCAATTTGTAGGGAGCTGTATATATAGCATTTAAAAACCTGTTTCAATTAAATTCATTATTTTCTAGCAGGAAATATAAATATTTCTGAAATACTTGTAGAACATTTCAAATAAAAAATAAAAATCCAGAATATCTTGTGTTTTCTGTTTATATCTACGTAAGACTGAAGAATCACTCGTTTGGAATCAACGAGAGCACACACTCTAACGGTCACACTCTGGATGCGGTTTTCTTTGAAATGTGGTCCTCACTACACATCAAAAACAGACACATTTGCTTTAGGAAAAGGTTTATAAATAACATCATAGCTGCACTTTTCATGGGCAAAACATGCTCTGCACCATGCAAACCATCTGAATCTGTTGATGCTTTGCTGCATAGCTTCGACTCAAAAATTGAGTGATGAATGAGATCACCAGTTAAAACTAAAAACATGTCATGCCAACAGAAAACGCCACGGAGGAATGCTACTGCAGTTCAGCTCCAAAAGACAGAATGAAGGAAGGTTGAATGTGGATGGTGTAAAAACAAAGCTTCAGAACTACAAAGAAATCTTCAAAGATAGGCTGCGTGATTACAACACAATCATGTGCAAAGCTAGACAATCCTTCTTCTCCAGCATCATCAACAATAATATTAACAACAGCAGAATACACACCTGACTTCGCCATGGCTGACTAAGTCATCTACATATATGACCCCTGAATTAGTATCAACTGAGAGATGTAACGAGTTTGTATACTTTATTAACACTTAAATTTATGTCAAACCAGCTTTTAGTACATCTATATCCACCAAAGAGCCTGTGTTCTCCTCATCATCACCACATCAAGATATCATGGTTAAAATGTCCCAGTTTAGTGCTATTAATAATTACATTTTAATCGATCCACTTGTAGTCTTGACAGGTTACCAACCAATACTTTTTAAAAATTTTAAAAATTGCAGCAAACATACTTCAGAAAGTAAACATTTCAGTCATGTCAAGCATTTTTCCTAACACGTTAAAAAACGCAGTTGTGAAGCCTCTCTTAAAAAAAGAAAAGTCTAGAAACAACTCTATTGAGTAATTAGACAGATTTCAAATCTACCTTTCATGGCAAAATTATTGACAAAATCATTTTCAAACAACTTGCTGGTTTTCTGCCCTTAAAAAGCTGTCTAGACAAATTTCAGTCAGGTTTTTGTTCTAATCATAGTACTGAATCTGCTCTAAATAGGGTTATTAATGACATTTATTTAAATACAGACTCTGGAAAAGTATGTGTTAAACTATTGCTCGATCTCATCGCTGCCTTTGACACCACTGACAATAAAACTCTCATAGATAGACTTGAGAACTAGGTTGGGCTCTCAGGAACGGTCCGAAAATGGTTCAGTTCACAAGGAAGGGACTACTTTATTGAAATAGAAAATAATGTTCTGAGAGAGTGCCAGTGACCTCTGGTGTCCCCCAGGGTTCAATTCTTGGACTGCTCTTATTTAATTGGCCAAATACTACCAGACTATAGGATCTTACCACAGCTTTGCAGATGATTCTCAGATCTATTTGGCCCTCTCCCCAAACAAATAGGGTCCCCTTAATTCAGTCTGTAAGTGTTTTAAACACATCACTAACTGGATGGGACAAAACTTTCAAACAGCTTCAGATGATTCAAAATGCAGCCGCCTGAGTCTCACTAGGGGTAAAAGAAGGGAACACATCACCCCCCATTCTTAAATCCTTACACTGGCTAAGAGTCTGTTACAGAATAAACTTTAAGACACTATTAGTGGTCTATAAATTGCTTAATGGTGTAGGAGCAGCGTAATTATCTGATATGCTGCAGCGATATGAGCCGAGCTGAGCTCTCAGAAAGGGCTTTCTGAGTCTTCTGCAGACTGCAAACCAGCTTACAGAAGGAAAAACAACTCCACTGTTGCTCATGCAGTCCTCCACAATGCTGCACTCACCTGGGATGAGCTTCATGTACCTTACTCACAAGGAGCTGCACAGCTGTCTGACATTAACACTGCACACAGACCCCAGACTAAACACACTGCAGGCAGCCTCTTTGCACAGCATTTAACAGCATTTAATTAGAACATGCCATGAAATCCACAAAACATTATGGTGGTAGGTATGTAGATCTATAGACATGGAGAATTAAAATATCTGAGATGAAAATGAATGAAAAATTGAATTACAAATTACATTAACCTCAGTAAAGCCTGATAAACAGCACCATCTAGTTGGAGATGCAGCTTCCAATGACACAGCAATGGAGTTTAGGAACCCACGTGACTCATTCAACTAAGCTAATGACAGTTAGCTTTTGTCTCAATGTGATTAAATGTTCTGTTTCCTATGACCTTAAACCGTATTCCACTTTAGCAAACTGTTCAAACTGTGTCTAACTGTGTTCCTGTTTTCTACACTACTCAGAAAAAGATTATATTGAACAGTTCAAGAGTTTTGCAAGCAAGAGTGAGGCAGAGATCAAACTCCCAATCTCAATCGGCCAGTTCTGAAAATTTAGTTGTGCCCTGCTGAAGGAGTCTGGTTGGTGGCTCCATAGCAACCTGGTCTCATGGGTTGAAGGCCTCGGTTTGATCCCTATTGAGGACAGTTAGTCTCACCATCTTATGGGTTTAACACATTTACATTTAGAACTCTTGTGACAGTTCACACGAACATAAAAGGTACAGAATTAATGATTGTGTCTTTGTTCATTTACCATAAAGTGTCCTATTTTATGTAGTTCATTGTAGTTCTGTTCTGTTTATTTTCTGTTTAATACATTTTAATAATAACAGTAAAGTCTCAGTTCCCTCCATGTTCTGTTCATGTGTTTGTTCTGAATGTTTGAGTCATGATGGTAAATGTTTTAGGTGTCCTGATTCTTTTAACTACCATTCAAAACTGGTTGGGCATTTCAGCACCACATGCTCTGGGTTGCCAACTCCAGCTATTTAACCCCCAGTTTTTTGTGCACTGTGGGGACAAATTGTTTTGGGTGAGGACCCCATTTTTACAGCGGCATTTTTCTTTATGAATAAGTGCAGATACACACAAATAATTTAGATGTTACTCAGAATTACTCACTAGTTAGAAGGTTTAAACAATATTTAGTAAAACGTGCCTGAAAACTGAAAAACTGAAAAATATAGTAAATAATTAATAAATAACTAAAAACATCTTTTTTGCCAGGTTTAGAAACACTAATTTATCGCTAATAATCTGTGAATAAATAAATGAGTGAATGAATAAATTAATACAAACACACAAATAAACATCATGACAAACACATAACAGAAGTAATTGTTGAAATAAAGAATTGTAACAGAGAAACACGACCACTCAGTGTAACTCAGACGGTGGGCAGTTTTATATCTGTTACACTTTTACTCAGCATTGTTTTCAAGCTTGAAA